ATGAAGTGCTGGCACAGCTCGTTGGTTTCGTGGTAGGATTCTGTGGGACACTTATCACTCCCCTGGTACTCCTGCCTTCATCACGGCTTCCCTCCACCACTCAGCAAGGCTCTCGTGGAAACCACGTGTTCTCGTTGTAGCCAGCACATCTGATGAAATCCTGGAAAGTTTTTCACAGTATTAATTGCTTTTCTAGTGGGAATTTAAACCAACCATTTTGCACTTGGCTCAGCAGGACGTAGGAATGGCCCATTTCCATCAGCAGTACAGTGAAGCATAGGATGTCTGGGTAGAGGCAGTCACTGTTTCTCTTTCTGTGGTCAACGGATCTGTAGGTAATAACTTTATTTTGCAGGCCACTTGAACATTTAAAGACAAAATAAAGGTCTAAACTCAGGATTCTGTATCTATGTTTAGACACTTTCATGCCAGATTGATTTGTAAAGCTATAGAAAAGGAAATAATTCCTAGAGAACACAGTGAGGTTTGCCAACAGCTCAGTACTTTTGGTAACAGCATCACAGATCCTTATCCCTAAATAAGGACCCAGGAGCCTAACTTCACCTGATAACATGATAATAGCCATATAGCATCAAGTTCAAAAGAGTAAAGAATTATTAGACTAACAAGCCCCCTTATCCTGCATCCTTTAAATAGAATTGCTTTTGTGTGACTAGCATGATCTAATTGCTAAGTCATCCCTGCACATACCATAGGGTGTGTTGAAAATTTTCAGGAAATCAGTGTGGAGATTGGAATATTGTATTCTTAACCCAGATTATTCTGCATAACAAAGTTCTCCTGCTAGAAGCACACTTGATGAAGCTGAAGGAATGAGTCCTCCGTTACTGAAGGCCATCTCTTTTAAGAGGTGCTATCTGAGCCTGTTGTAGACTGATGTGGAAGGAAGTAGTTCAAGGCCTGAGCCAGAGTGAATCACTGTTCTCTTACCCAGACATAAAATGATGTGTTTTCAAGGATTCTTTTGAGAATCCCATTTCTCCCCCTTCTCTTCAAGCGTTGTCCTTCAGCTGCCACTCTCCCTTTTCTGTGAAAGGATGGGCACAGGTCTTACTGGAACACAGGACCGGCAGCCTCTCAAAGTTTTGACTGCACATTTTGGCTGCAACCTGAAATTTCCATGTGCTTCCCTGAATTTTGGGAGGTTGCATGTCTTGAAATAATTTAAAAAAAAAAAAATTGCGTATTGAATGCTTTCCAGTATTTTTTGTGGGCAGGAGTGTCATCCACACAGGGTTTTTTTGATTTTCTTTCTTTCCTATTCTCTTCCTACTTTCCAAAATATAGATGTGTTTAATTTTATGTAGCCATTGAAAGAAAGTGAAGCAATTTATCAAGCCAGGTTTTGAAATCCCAGATTGACTTCCTCTGAGCAGAGAGCTCTGACCATTAGGCTGAAGCCAGGCTCCTTCTTGCTTGTTTTACCTCCTGGCAACATTCTGTAGCAGTCCACCGTGAGCAGGAAGGAAAAGGAGAATATCTTCACACCCAAAACCCAGCAGCTTTTTGCTTAGGATGCAGGAATTAGGGATTCAACCTCCTCCTGCTTCCTGAGGCGGAGGACTGTACATTAACCCTTGACCTTTACCACAAAATGTGGAATTTAATCCATTAGCTCTCTTCAAAGAGGCAGAGTGGACACCAAAGGTACTTGCTTTGAGGCTCTGGGTGCCTCCTTCCTTATCAGCTGGCTCTAGGTCTCTCCTTGCTGTACATGTAATTGTGCATATAGTCACTACTTATAATGAGTATATCTTAATGTAGGCTTTTTTACTTAACTTCTGGAGGACATGGACAACATGCACCTAACCTTTCAGGATGTCTCTGCCATGTTCCTTGACCTCCCAAGAAGCAGCATCTTTTCTGTGCAGAAAAGTTGCCACGCAAAATTTGAGAAAACTGTTTGCCTGGGAAGTTTGGTTGACCTGGTGGGAACCACTATGGAGCAATTCCTCATAGCTTCTGGGTTCTGTGCAGCTGGGGAGAGCACAGAGAGGAGTTGTGGACCCCAGAAAAAGGATCTTCTTTCCTCTGTAAAGCAGCTTCCTGGCTATCTATGGTACATGTATTCAAAGCTGTGAGGGGCTTGGTGCAATAAAGTGGAATCTAGGAAGAACCAACCAGACTTCAGTAAAACCACTCCAGAATTGCTCCCCTTCACCTTGGGTAACAGTACTACAAAAGATATGAAGTGTTTCCACAGGACACTGAATTTGTTCTGTCCTACCTCCATTTTTCCAGTTCTGGATAACTTATAACCCATTGTTTACCTTGTTCAACATTTTTAGTATGTAAAGGGCTCTGTATAATCCCTAAAACTTATGTTGTAAAGCTGAAGCTGCTTTAAAAATTGCTTAGAGTTAAAGTTAGTGATGATATTGTAGTGGAGCCTGGACATACCATGGGAGTGGGCTCCTGGTACAGTGTTGAGTTACGTACAGTTTCTGGCCCAAAGAAATCACAGCCCAAGGTGATCATGTAAAAGCATAATAACAGAATGTGTAAGCAGTGTTCACAGACATTGTGATGCCTTAATGTATGTCTTAAAATGTGTTCACTCCTTAATTGTTTAAAAGGGGTTTGACCAGGAATTAGTCAGCTGGAAAGGCAGACAAAGCAACAGGGTGGGGAAAGGGAGGCTCAAGATAGCAGAGAAGCAAATAGAGGAGGTGGTTTGACTGTGAGGAGCTCCAGGGTTGAGGCTCTAGCAGGCACATGAAGAGAAGAACTGGCGTAGAGTCATGTCAACATCTATCCAGACCAGGGAACTAATGGAAAATAGCAAAATAATGCATAGATGTCATTAGCCTGGGATGGAAGCAGGCTATTGATGGGTCCTAGCAGCTGGTTGGACTGGAAATCCTTTCTCCCTCCAAACCTGAACAGTTTGGTCACAAATCCTCCACAGAAGCAAAGGGTTCGTTTGTATGCAGTTATAGATCTTGAGACTCATCATCCTTATTTCTTTCTCCTGTCCCAGTGCTGTGGAGGAACCTGGGTTTCTGTAGCAATGAAACGCTCCCCTCGTATGTCAGAATAGCTTGTGGTCTAGTGCATGATGTGTTGGAAGAGATACACGCTCAGTAGTCTTAGAAAATGAGGTGTTTGTTCATTCCTTCTGAGGAACCTCAACTATAGATTTGGTAACAAAATTCCAGGATTATTAGGTAGTTACTTACACGTACTTAGAGTACTTTATTTTCTGCAGTGTGCAGGTCCTGTCTTTGATCCCTCTGCTCGTTTTGCCAAGATTTCTTTAATGCAATTAGGGAAGCTGTCAGGCAGGAATATTTTTGCAGTTTATTTTTCTTTCCCCTCTGAAGGTCAGATGGTCTTTCCTATATATAGCTACTACGGTGGTTGAGGGTTAATTCTGAGGACTTTTGAGACTATACCTCTGGAACGTGCCGTGTTTTGAGAGGGCTACCTTGTGCTGGATCCTCTCTCAGGGCTATTCTTGTCCTGTGGGGTGACAGTTTTTATTAATGAGGAAGGACATATTCAAATCCTCAACAATTCTCCCTGAGATTCTGAGAAAGAAAAAGGTGGAAAAGTGAAAGGGCAAAGTAAATAGCCCTAAAGGTACTGGCCACCTCCCAGCATTCTTCTTTTTGCAGCTTGGTATAACCTGCAGCATGGTTGGCTAATTCAACACCAATTAACTCCATAAAGATCCAATCCTTTTGTTTGGAGAGCTCTGACAATACAGAGCTGCCTCTTCAGCCAAGAATCTTCCTGGAGAGACAATGACTAGAAATCTTTATGCCTTGTCTCCAGTCCTGATACAGTTGGGCAGAGCTCTTAAAAATGTGTTAATTCTTCCTGCCCACCTCCTGCCCTGAATCTCTCCAACTCTATCTGACCATTATGTGTGCCCTGCACAGATTTGCTCTGTCTTTAACTTTATGATTGATACTTATGTTTACTTTGGTAATAAAAGTGATGAAGCCAAGCCTGTAGAGAGGAACATGCATGTTAAAGGAAGAGACCAGTGGATTGTCAGGCTTCCTCGCTGAAGTGTTGGCAACCTGCATTTTGGGTATTTTTCCTCTGAATGTTTGATAAGCTGAAGAGTATTACAACTCCTGAAGAGTGAATCCTGCAGCCTGAAAAGTCCTATCACATGTTCAGAAAGGTATCAGTCTCAATGGCAGGGGAAAGTAACCATGATCTTGACAGCATCTGGGTTTCTGGGATGCCAGGAATATGTTCCTGTCCTCTTCTTTCACTCACTGGTGGCTGCCTCTTCCAGCCATGACAGAGATTTTCATAGGCTCATAGACTTCTCACATATTCCCCTTCTTCTTGCTGCTTAAATAGTATCCTTGTCTCTAGTGGTATGTTGTCCTTTCATGGTTCCAAGCTTTATCAATCTGTTAAAGTTCCTAAATGATACCAGAGTTCATTACCAGAGGTCACAAGATTGACAATGGTTCCATTATCTGAGTGCATCAATGATACATAGCAGTCTTTGTAATTCTCTGTTGCTTGCAGGAGGGCATAAATCTTTCCTACCATACATAAAACCTTTAAAAGGAAAAAAGGGTTAATTCCATATCTTTAGTATAGGCTAGTGAATGTTTGGTGTGTGATTTCCTTACTTGGAATTCTTAGGACTGAAAATGGTTCCATAAATAGTTTATTTTCTCTTTCATTTTCATGCACATGCATTGGGAAGAGAAGAGTGCCAGAAATGTTGTGTGTGCATTAATTCTTGTCAGCTGAGGAGTGGGAATGGGTTGAGGAAAACCTCTGAGAGAGTCTGGTTTTGGTGAAACTTCTTGTTCAGTTAGATAATAAGAAACAATTCTAATAAAAATGAGATTTGCCTGTCCTTGAAACTTCCTTAGCACTCACACCATGTATTCCTGTATCACAGATTTTGGTGTGATTTTATTTCATCTGAGCATGTTCCTTCTTTGAATTGTGAGCTTACTCTTTTCATGCTGTAACAGTCCTTTTCTCTGTTTTTTTCACAGACTGTTTTTGAGAGGAACTGTCAATCTGATGATTGTGCTGCTGATTTGAAACTTCAGGGTAAATTATTGCTCTCCAGGTGAGTAGGAGAACTGTTTTTCTCTTACATGCTAGTATGTCATTCATTTTATATGAGATGACATTAAAAAATCAAAACACACACACAGTCATTTTTTATCCAGGCTGGAAGGATGGTGACAGTGATATAATCTTGAGTGCAGAAAGATCTTGAGATGTACACAGAGTCTGAACTTCTGTGGTGGTGGGTTCTGTGCTCATAAAGGGCAAGACACCTTCTCCTCCAGATCACAATGGACAACACAGGGGATAAAGGTAGAATAGCAGAGAGGGGCAGGGAAAAGAGTTACATGCCCAAATCTAGTACTAATGTGAACTATGTAATTTTTTTAAAGATGATAAAATACAGTGTATGACATGGTAGGAGTAAAACTGCCTGCAGAAAAGCAGCTCAGAAAAAAAAGTCATGTGGAAGGTGAAAGAAACTCCTCAGCATATGGAAAATTATCATCTTCAAATCATCTTTCTCTGTTCTAAATTTGTAGTTTTGCTGACTCTCCTGAAATGCTTTTCTCCTTTGTCAGATTCTTCTTGTTAGTGACTTGGAGAGGGATGTCTGATTTCACTTTCTTCTGGGATAATAAACTTCATCACATAGCCCAGAGGTGAAGTTTATATGCTGTCCCTTGTGAATGGTGATCCTAGGGAAACGCCTGTTGTTTTGCCAGGATGTAGTTATTTAATTTTGGGATAAATCAGGCTAAAGGTGAACTTGAGACATCACTTCTGTTTCCTTTTTTCTTTTTTTTTTTTGCCAGCATTTTTAGCACAATTTTAGAGTCGGAAGTGCTGATGCAAGTTATTTAATTGTGTGCCAGAGGTTTTGCTGTTTGATGGAGGTGCTCTCTGTGAAATGCTTTGCTCAGGAAGGAGAGGGGAAGAGACTCCCTTGCTTTAGGGAAAAAAAGAAAGGAAGTAGTAACAGGAGATACACATTTTAGATAAGTCTACAGCACACTGTAACTGTACTTTGAGACAAAACTGAACCAGAGTCAAGTCTGAGAAGTTAGGGACTTCTCCAGACACGACTGAAGTCCACAGGAATGTTCAGGGGATTGGCTGGGAGCAGGGTTAGCTCTCAGATTGCAGAGTCCAAGCTTTGACTGTGATCAGTTTGGATTTTTGACCTTTCTCTTGATCTTTGCAGTGAGCAAAAATCTGTTGAGAGCTGGAGATGTGTCTGCAAACTAAGGAAGCCAGTGAGGGATTTTCTCATGCAGTTGAGAAGTGATCAAGAAAAAACAAAGGACAAGTCCTAAAAACTTGTTAAATCAGTGCATAGCAATCATAGCAGTAAGAGCAGTATTCACAATTGGAACATTAGACTATTTATTGTTACTGCTGTTATTCATGTTATCTTGGCAATTTAAAAGCCACTAGTGTCAAAAAAGCTTTGAAAATTCAAATACAGTTTCTACGTATGTATGGCAAAACGCTGAACAAATGCTCTCAAATCTTCTTTATCCATTGACACTCTGAAGTCCTGTTTGAAATAAACAGGATGCTGTCAAATCCACCAAGTCTGCACAGAAGGGGTTTTCTTTAGCTAAAGGGCTGTGTAAGCCTCAGTTATTAGAAACAACACAATGGGTATCTCTAAAGAAAACAGGTTTTTATTATTGCCTATAAAACTACAAAAACGTCCTATGGGTTCTGATTTTAGAGAAGTGCCTTGAAGAATATGATAACTTTTTCAGCTCCATGTGTTCTGTGCTAAAGAATCCAATCAGCACATTTTCCTGTATTATTCTTGTTTATTCTGTGTATAAAGCTTTTTTTTTTAATAGAGCAAAAAAAGGTGACTCATTTATTACTGCCTGCACCAAACAGTTGGCTTCATTGTTAGCAAGGTCATGGCAATGCCTTTAAACGATCACATCTGACTAAATTTGGTGGACCTGTTATTGAAAATGACCCAATTAATGGCACATAAATATATTGGATTGAAATAAACGGCATGTTTTTGGGAAGGCAGTGGGAAGTGCTGTCTCTCAGATCTGCTGCAGCTCTTTGACAATGTCACTCTACGTGTGGATGGGGTTGTACAGTTACAGTCATCTACCTGGGCTTGCAGAAGACTTTTATTAAGATTTCTCACCAAGGATTAACAATGAAAAGTTGCCCAGATCTGAGAGGAATGATGCCTGAGCATTGCTACCTTAATTAAAAGGTAGTCAACAGAAAGGAGGAGTAGATAGCTTTGTTTCTCTGATGGAGGAGACTCCACAAGTGCTTGTGCTGGGGCCAGTGGTATTCAGCATATTCATACATGATCAGGGAAATAATCTGCTAAAAATAAATAGCAAGGCACTAAAGTTTGCTAATCATACCAAACTATTCAGAGCAATGAAAAGAACAAATGAGGAGGTAAATTTTCATGAAGCATGTGATTAATCTGTGGATTTCACTGTTGGAGGTGTTGTAAATGCTGACAGTTTACATGAGAGATGGCAAATGTGAACGCTGGAAGCTGCATCAACAAAATAACATTCTGTGCTTGCTTTGTTCTTCCAGAGGCCTTTTGCTTTTAGACGTGGTTGGATACAGGGCTCTCTGTAGGTGGACCAACTGGTCTGGCTGTTCATACACACTTTTCATTAATTTGTAGCATATTGGAGCCAAAAGCTGTGCAGAGGGCTGTATGTTGTATAGCTTTGTCCGTGACTCTATGTAATGCTGAAATGTGTGCTGCTTAGAGCATATAAGTGCACATCTCAGGTTACATTACCAGGAGAATTGCTTGCTGAGGTCATGCTTATGAGCTCAGGAACTGCACAAGCTACTCCAATTTAGAGTTCACCTGGGGTGCATTTGGATCACCAGAATTATCCAGTTGAAGGATTGAACCCAGCTTTGAAGGTGCCAAACCTGCAGACCCAGTGACTAATAGGAAAACCAGCTTGTGCAGCAAGAGCTAACCAGGTCTGCTCTTGGGATCCTCCTCTTCTGGAAACTTATTCAAGTGCCCTCCAATTGGGAGCACTGCACTTTGATAAATAACAGACAGCCTGGGATGTTAACACTTGGTCTTGGTAACGACCTGATGGATGGCCATTGATCCAAAGTGCTCAAACCAAGCAAATCTGCATGTGGAAGTCAGACACTTCACTGCTCTTCTGACCAGCTGTGATTGGGTTTGCCTTGTTAAGGTGCTGCTGCATGTGGGAATGGTGCTACTGGGTAATTGGAAACCTTCCACTGTGGAGCTGGAGGAGAGGATGCTATCAGACTACTTGAAAGTAGATGGTGATTAAAAAAACCTTCAAAGTTTTATAACTCTCTCTGGAAGCTTTTGCAAAGATTTGGGAGGGTGAGAATGGGATGTGATGGTGATTCCTCTATTCTGTTGGGGTTTTTTTAATATTTCTGTTATAGTGAAAAGTGTCCTTGGAGTCTTGGGTTGAAGGTCAGGGTGACATGCTGTAGTGAGGAGGAGCTGGAATGCATTTGTTCTGGAAAGGAAAAGGTTTCTGTTCAGTTAACAGATTAATCTCTTTAAGGCTCATCCACCTTCATTAGCATCACTTTGTATCTAAACCAATCCCAGCTTCCTGAAGGGACTGTGGGACAAAGGAGCCAAACTTCCTGCTGGTGGCAAGAGGAGCAAGAGTCATAGGTTGTGGCTTGGCAGGTTCAGACCAGAGATTTGGAAAAATCTTCTTGCTTAAGCAATTTGTGCTGCATGGGATTGAGGTGTGCAGAGTCAGTGTGCTCTGGGTTTCAGGACGTGGCTGGGTAAGGTCCCTGCTGATCTCCTCTGTTGCTGGCAGTTGTCCTGTGTCGAGGAGGATGAGAATGGATTGTATGATCTCTAGAAATCCCTTCCCACCAACTTCTCTGCAGTTTTCTGACTCATCTTGAGGTAAAGCCTCCCTGTAAACTGAGCAAAACCACCTCAACAAAACCCAGCTCTTCAATGACATGGAAACTCCTACCTAGGATGGTTGTGGGTGTCTTCCAGTCCCACTGCCTGCAGGAGTCCTCAGCTCTCACTGGTGCCACCTCTGCTAGCAAGAACATGAGGCATCACAAGAGGGGACAGAAATATCAAAGGCTGGAGAAAAACCTGGCAAAGAAAGCCATGGGGATTTAACTTTCTGTGGCAGATGTTACAAGATAGCATGCTAGGATTGCTGCAGATGGTGTTTTTAGTGGTTAACCTGGACTTACTCATAGGAGTATGAGTGTTGTTAGCCTAAAACTAATGGCAACTTAAAAGTCAGGGAAAAGGAGCCATGGAGTTTGCTGGGGACTTTGTAAAGTCCATGTTAGGAGAAACTGAAGAAGCAGGAGAGAGCATCTTTCCAGTCATGACTGTCTTTGAATCCATTTTTTCTTGAAGAATAAGCATGCAAGGTTGTGGCAGAATGGAGAGACTACTCATCACCTCCCCTTCAAAGAGTCTCCAGTGTTAAATCTTGCAGCTGCCATAGGAGACAGCAGAATCTGGCCTTGTCCATGCTTTGTGTTGTGGGGGTAGATTTCTAAAGGAAGAGACTTAAAAGCATCTTAGCGCAAAGAAGGTATTTATGTATTTATGTATTGCATGCAGGTAGCTTTAATGATGCAACCTGGAACCGTATGGGAAATAGGAATAGGAGATTTTGCAATAATCTTTATGGCTGTAGCTTTGGGACACCAATAAGAAACCAGTTTTTCTTTCTAGCAATCCATTACTGAAAAGCAAAATGCAATTAAAGAGTGTTCTGTTAGCTATTATTTTCAAATATTGCCTAATATTAAAAATATATTTATTCCATGTTGTGCTTGACTTCAGAGCCTCACACTATTTTCTCAGCACAGCAAATGTCTTTTCCATTAGTTTTCCATAGCAAAGAGCACATTTTTATTGAGCTTTCCTATAGCTACTTGTTTAGAAGCTAAAATGCATCTGGTTCCTCAAGATGTGCTGGGGGAGACTCTGAAGTAGGTGTTTTGCAGAAGGTTAGACCTGCCTGGCCTTTAAAATAGACTAATCCACTCCTCTTTTATGTACTTTAT